CATCATGATCATCATCATCATCATCAACAGCATCAGCATCATCATCAGCATCAGCATCAACATCATCATCATCGTCATCATGATCATCTTCAGCATCATCATCAGCAGCATCATCGTCAGTATTACCCTCAACATCACCGTCAGCATATGCATCATCATCATCAGCAGCAGCATCATCAACATCACCAGCATCATCAACATCAGCATTAGCAGCATCATCATCATCACAATCATCATCATCATCATCATCATCAGTATCACCAGTATCATCCTCATCATCAGCATCAGCATCATAATACTCATCGGTTGCATCATCAGCATCATCGTCAGCATCATCATCATCAGCATCAGCATCATCATCGTCAGCATCATCATAATCAGCATCACCATCATCAGCATCACCATCAGCCGCATCAGCATCAACATCATCATGAGCATCAGCATCAGCATCATCATCATCACCACCACCATCATCATCATCAGCATCATCATCAGCAGCATCATCATCAGCGTCATCAGCATCAAAAACATCAGCATCACCATCATCAACAACATCAGCATCATCAGCATGAATATCATCGACATCGGTACCAGCATCATCAGCATCATCAGCAGCATCAGTATCATCAGCAACAGCATCAGCCGCATCATCATCATCGTCATCAGCATGATCGGCATCAGCATCATTATCGTCATCAGCATCCTCATAATCATCAGCCGCATCATCAGCATCATCAACAGCCTCAGCACCATCGGCATCATCATCCGCATCCGCATCAGCATCCGCATCAGCAACAACATCAGCAGCATCAGCATCAGCATCATCAGCAGCAGTAGCATCGTCATCATCATCAGTCTGATCATCGTCATCACCACCACCCTCACCACCACCACCAGCATCATCATCAGTATCGCCAGCAGCATCATCATCATCATCATCATCAGCATCATCATCATCATCATCATCATCATCATCATCTCCAGCATCGTCATCATCAGCATCCCCATCATCATCAGCATCTTCATCATCATCAGCATCGTCATCATCACCATCATCAGCATCACCAGCATCGTCATCATGATCATCATCAGCATCGTTATCATCATCATCATCAGCATCAGCATCAGCATCAGCATCATCATCAGCATCATCAGCATTAGCATCATCATCATCACTTTCAGCATCATCAGCATCAACAGCATCATCAGCATCATCATCAGCATCATCAT